TGGCAACAGTAGTGAGGTTGGCCCAGGAGCAGGCAGTGTTTCATTCTGCTGTGCATAAAGTCGCTATGAGTCAGTACCAACTTGATGGCACCTAACAACAACAACAACTGGTATTGTATGACATTAAAAAGGATTGAAATTGTTAGAATATAGAGCTCAGAGGAGCAGATAAGACAGCAGAAATACTTAGATCTCTTAATTATGGAGAAGTAGCATGTGCTGGCTGTACCAATGTCTTTAAGGGAACAAGGTAACTCTGGTTCAACTCACCATAAGATTAAAATCTTGATTTATCTTTATTCAACTGCTGCTGCCTCATAATCTATCATCTGCTAGTGGAAAAACACTGCTGAAAGTCTTATTTAAGGAGCGCTGGTAGCTCGGTGGTTAAGTGCTCAGCTGCTTACCAAAAGATTACAATCCACCAACTGCTCCATGGGAGAAAAATATGGCAATTGGCTTCTGTAAAGTGCATAGCCTCAATCTGTCCAGTAGGATAACTCTTATTGATAAGGTCAAAATCAACACCATGAAGGTTATATTTTAAAAACAGAAAGCAAACAGGGAGGGCAAGTGTTTTCTCCCTACCTCCCCCACCTGTCTGCAGCCTGCCTGCATAACCCCCTATGGTTGATTACGAGTAAGAAAACAGTAACCAAACTATAAATACGTGTACATGTTCCCAACTTCAGCCTTGCAATGGATCTAATACGAAGGTCAGTTTGGAGCTGAGAGACAGAGACACATCAAACAACTTCAGACTACAAAAGGAATCCAAAGTACAAGGTTCTCATTAACAAGAAAACAGAAATATAGCCTGACTATTAGATTCTGTACAATATTCTTCTTTGTTTTATTTTCTTCTGAGAAGGAACACCGAGTCTTACTAAAATTATGATAAAAAACAGGTAATAGTTCTTATTCATGAAATACATTAGTGAAAAACATTATTATAAAAAAATTTATGGTAAGCATCCTCAGAGTGTTCACAGCATTTAAATTTATTTTCTAATAAACACTTCTATTTTGGCTGATACACAGTTATAAGAAATAATATAAGGCGGCGTGGGCTGCCGGCACCAAAGCCTGAGTGGCTCCGCCGCTGCGCCTGCTGCGAGATTGCCATCTTGGGTGAGGAAGGGTGAGGGCGCCCGCTGCAGGAGGAGGTGATGCTGCTGTGGCCGCCGGGAGCCAATGGCTTCACGCCAGAGGTTGTCTCCTCACTAGACTATGATCTCCTTGAAAGAAGGAATCGTGTTTTACTCATCTTTGTATCCCCAGTGTCTGGCACAGTTCTTGATACATAGTTTCAGCTGAATTTTGAGACATGGCAACTGCTTCACCAAGGTCTGCTACTAGTAATAACCGTAGTGGATGGTTACAGTTACAGTTTCTAGTGCCAAACTGAAAAGAAAAAATAACTGGTTTGGGACAGCAATATATACAGAAGTAGCTATAAATGGAGAAATTAAGAAAACAGCAAAATCCAGTAGTTCTTCTAATCCAAAATGGATGAACAGCTAACTATACATGTGACCC